TTTTAAAGTATTCAATATCTTTTTCTGAAAGTTAGATCAACCTACCATAATTATCTACCAAATGATTGCCATCCTAATTCATCACATAACCATTTTCATCTACCTAATATATAATTTCATCTTCTTCGTTCTCATTATCATGAATGATTGACATTTTATCTAAAATTAATTATAAGTACTTCTTTACATATCTTCCTTTGTTAAAATAATTTATTAATCTTCTTGATTTTATAAACAAACAGGGGATTCTTTGTCTTTTATAAAATCAAAACTTTTTTATTCTCAAGTATCATTATATCTGGTAGTTTTCTATTTAATAAATAATCATTGACCTATTTATTAAATTATTCATATTTTTTGATATAAGTATCATAAGTTTCTAAGGTAATTTATAATATTAAGGTTATTATGATTAATTGGATTGTAATTTTAGCTAATTATCAATATTTTATTGCAATTCTTTAGTTACTTCTTTTTTACTTCTGAATAAAATGTAAGTTAAATGTGTTTATAGTAATTATATTTTTTGTAATTCATCAATTTCAAGTTGTAATTTTTTTTTCAATTCTTATTTTTGTATAGTTGGTTACATTTTATAAATTTTGATCAAAATTTTCGTTAATAAAAATACTTATTAAATTTGGATACTAATTACAGATTCTACACTTCTATTTAGGTTGAAAATGTTTTATTTATTTTTTTTTGTTTAGTCAAATCTTGCTTTGATTATTCTAATTCAAATTTAACTAATTCGAAATCTTTTCTAGAAAATTCAAACATCTTTAACATTCTTCTCTTAATTGTTAATTTAGGCTTCATTAGATGTTTGAGATTGGAATGCTCCAACAGGGATTTATTATAATGATCTTTATGAATGTTAGGGAGTATCATGTTAACTTATAAGTCTGCCAGATTAGAATGATTTTGGATTTAAATTTTCTTTATCTTTTTCTCTATATTAATGATGTTATTGAATAATAGGTCTCAATTCTTCAGTTTTAAGAACGATTGGCTATTAGCAATATTATTATGGCTGCTAAGGAACTACATATTATGGTTGAAGAAACTGCATACGATTAGATTACTATTCTATAAGCAAATAAATAGTGAATAACAGATATTGGGCATTGATTTGAGAGGGCTGGAGATAAACGACGCTGTTTATGCATTTTGAAAAAGAAAAAAAATTAAAATAATTATGAAGACTCATAAGCATATCTATCATTATTTTGTCATTCAAATTAGATTGTAAAATGAGTCAAATATATATAGTTTCTAAAAAAATAAACAATAATCTAATATGAATCTAACAATATTAATCTAAATTGATTTTTTAAAGGGGAAAATGAAAAAAACTCTTAAATATATAATTTCCTCTTCAGAGTTCTTTAAGTTGAAAATTATAGGCTATAAAAAGATTATAGGGATTCTATTTGATGTTATGACAGTATTTGAAAGGATGATTTCTAGTGATTAGTTGTAATAATACAATAGATGTTGTTATGTTAACCAATTTAAGATTAGTAATAATAAGAGACTGCGTGTGATTTTGCCTCAATAAGTTAACAAAATAAAACTATACTAGCTATATAAAGAATAAAAAGAATAGAAATTATATATAAATAGGAGTATTATGAAATTTCAAATAATAATAATCATATTTCTACTTTAATTCTAGAAGATTAAGTAGTTTTAAACAAAGACTTAGAATTATTGACAATTGGAAAAGATTCCTTTTTTACATTAGATAATTTAAGCCTTCTATTAATATAGTTATTAACAACTTTGTGTTATAAAAAACTGCAATAAATAAAAGTTTTAGTTGATCCTGGAGGTGTTAGATCATAATTTATTGGTTCATTATCATAAATTTCAGTTCTAATTAATCTTTTATGTTTTTAGGGTATCACTTTAATTTTTTCTGCTTCACTTTAATAAAGTTTAGTAAAGCAGTAGCTGCATAACGAGATTGTTTAATTAATGAAAACTGTGTTTATACCAAATTCTTAATATTCTTCTAATGTCATTCTTGGATACATTAATTTGATTACTCTAGGTATTAATTGAGTTGGATCTATTTTTATTAATTGAGCATTCAATCTATGAGATTTAGGAGATTGAATTTAAGATCTATGATCTGATCCTGATTCCCAATAATAAATCAACTCTTTTAATTTAACTTTTGAAAATTCAATTTAATTTTTCTCTTCATCACAAACAATGCATTTAGAATTATCAGATAATGTGATAGCTTAAGGATAGTTCAACAATTCTTTAGTAACCTTTTTGGTTATCGAAAAATCGGCTTATAATCAGCGTTATTGTTACGTAATGTAAATTTATAAGGTATATTTGATGTTGATAAATTGGAACATATTATAAGATATATTTATCCTTTCTTTGATAATTTAAATATCAATTCCATCAATGTGATTTCTTTTTGATTTTAAGTAACATTTATTACATAATTAATCCACATAATAATTCTAATCTTTAGTAAAATTAGGTTCCTTATGAACTGAAAATCTTAGAAATTAAATTTATACGTTAATTATTCTACAGGTCCATTTGGAGTTTCAAATGTCACTGCTCTTTAATAAATATCTGTTTTCTACATCATAATTGGGTATTTATTAGTGAAAACTTCAAAATAACACAAATTGTTTACCCATGTACATTTTATAACTTCATTCTTCTCAGCTAAAAGAATTATCATAGAAATTTACATTTTAAATAAATGAATTTCTGTAAATAACCTTCTGTTTCATAATTCATTTGAGATATTAATTAGCTTAGAAGATATTAAGATAGAAATTCAAATTCTGTTAAATTATCTTTCTTTGTAATCCAAACAGCACATATTTCATGAGAGTATCCTTTTAATCTCTTACAAAATCTTTTAAAATTGCCTCCAAGTTTAATTTTGTTTTGCTCTTTCTCATTATTTAAGAATTCACACTGTAATACCAATAATGAGGTTATCATTAAATTATTTATATTGTAAGCAGATGTAGTTTTTGAAAATCGGATTTTAAAGCCGTAATAAATGAATTAGATTGAAATTAAATCCACATCCTTCATGTTAAAACTTATTAAAACTCATTATTTTTCGTATTACAAATTTTAATTATCATTATCATTCTTCACTCCAACTTAAATTATATCATATTGGCAATTATATATTTATCCATTTTTGAAGTTATAACATCTTCTTATTCCTCATCTATATTAGATCTAACAATAATAT